GTGTGTGTGTGTGTGTTTCTAAATACCTTGATTCTTGCTTTTAGACGATGTCAGCTCCTCGAACAAGATTTATTTCGGAGATTCGAGAGTCTTCGAGTGACTGCGAGAGAGTATTTCGAGAGAGTGAATTTGGAGTGAGTGAACTTCGAGTTAGTGACTTCGAATTGAGAGTAACTTCGAGTTATTCGACAGTGTAGTTCGAGTGAGTCGATTCACGTAAAAAGTGGTCGATTCAAAAAGAAATAGAAGTAGTGAAGCTCGTTGCTTAAACACTAGCTTTTATACAATTTCCACCCCCGATGCTTGAGACCTAAAATTCGGGTAAAGGTAAAAAGTCAAATTCCTATTGGGAGGATATAGGGTGGGAGTTGGAAAAATCACTCATTGGAGAAAATGAGTGAGGGTGGGATTTGGAAGTTTCTAATTGGAGGATTTAGTCTAGAGTAGGGAAATTTGGGAGAAAATGCTATCGGGAGAGGGAGGTTGACGTTGCTTTCCTAGGAAGACTGATAAACGTTGAGATTTGAGTCGAATTTATGGGCTCGCACGTGCAAGGGTGGTTCGGTTATCGCGGGGGTTCCGTTTCTCTATCTTCTATTTTATGAGACTTAAAGTACCGGGCCCCCGCTACCTTATTCACTATTTCTCGGGGTCGGCGGGTCGCCGGACTGAAACAGGGTGGCTCTTGGTAATTTGAGTCTAAGAAAAAATGGCATCTTTAGGAGTCCTCTTGAGTGACCTGGGCCTCCCGGTCTCAGTTCGATGCGTGAGCCGATGCACGTGCAGGATTTTATATATATATTAATTNTTATTACGGACGCAGGTGCAGGGAGCGTTACGCGGGACGTAACAGAGGTATATCATTTTTTTTTAAATAATAAGTGGTAATTTGCAGAATTCAGTTGAAAAAGTTGACATTGTTCCAGTTTTTGAGTTTATTTTATGAGTACGAGTTTATGAACTTACAACGACTGTACTGAACTTACAACGATTGGACATTTAAAATACCCTTTATGTGTACTAGCAATGTATACTGATCGTAGGGATTTTTTTTCCCCTTTTGGGATGATCTCATATTTTATGACTTCTTTTTATTAGGGTTTTAAAACGAAATTATTTATTAAGTTACTTACTTAACACATTCAACTCGAAGTGATAGATGGAATTCAATCAGAGCATTTTGTGCCATCTAGAATATTAAAATAAAATGGTCACAATTACCAAACACTTACTGTTTTGGAAGTTCGGCATTGCGAATGAACATATATGTCATACTCTAGAACCAGCGCGATTCATTACTAAAATTCTTGCCAATAAATCATGTTTTAAAAATTAGTATACTAATCATGTTTATTGTAACATATACATTTTTTGTACGGATTTAAACCGACATACACCTTTATTTCTAAAGAAATCTTAGTAACTTATTGGCAAACTTAGAATTTAAATTTTAGTATAGTTTACGCCCATAGGGCACATCTTTTTTTCGGATTCATGACGCTGTTTTTTGGACATTTGAATGCAGTCGCGAACTCTTTCATGTTCGACAACGTGCCGATCACTCTATGCTTTGCAACGCTATGAATTGCATTCAGTTTTGCCCAGTAGACCAAATATTTCAAAGGCATCACCTCGCACCATACCTGCGGGAAGAATTGTTAAAAGTTGAATTTGTTTTTCTTTATTTTTGAAATTCGACTTGAGACGGAAAAAATAAAATAATCGGCGAATGGAAGGAAAAAGTGTCACTCAGAAGAAAAATATATAATACTAACGTTGGCGAATGACAGAAAGTATAATTGGTTATCCGTGTAGGCATCCAATCCTGGTAACCTCGAAAGATGCCTTTCATTTGGCCGATCGCGATAAGCTGCAAAACTCAATTGAGCACCAACCGTGTCAGCCATGTTTTCTTTCTCAGTTTGTTTTCCGTTGGCCTACAGAAAATAATTAGAATAAGTAATAAGTGTAGAAAAGTTTCTGAGGAGCGAGGTTACTATATTTTTGCAACCATTGCTAAGTTTCCTTCATGTTGTGCATAAGTACGAGTGCTTTTTCTTGGAAATAAATTTCAAAACCATTTTTACTCACATAGACCTCTCTATTATTTAATACTTCCAGTTCTTCGTACTTATAACTGTTGAATTGATTAACAAAACATTTCGCTCGTTCTGTAAAAGCTTCGATCGATTTTTCAGACCATTCCGTGTGTGAACCATTGTGCGCATATTTACGTCCTGAAATTCCTTCCGTTGTATTAGTTGATGTCATGTGTAAAAAAAAAAAAGAAATCCCCAACCTACCTTCCTCGTCATATCCATGAGACAATTCATGGCCCACGATGGCGCCAAGTTTAGAAAATTGGATGACTCTGCATCAAATAAATTTAATTAATTGTTGATATTGTTGGGAATGGAAGATTTGTATTTTGAAAACTCGTCTACTCACTCTGGCACATCGTTGAATAAAATAGGTTGATGCAGCATTCCCGAGGGTATGACTGAAAATTCGGAACATAGTTTGTATATTATCTTGAAATAATTTGTCACTAGTTGGAACTTTACCTATAACGTTGATATCACGTAGGTAATATGCGTTTATATCGACTATCCCTTTTGGCATTCTGAAATCCAATAATTTCGCCATCTTTTAAGACCTACATTATTTAATATCGCTTTTTGCGAATTGTTCCAGCTAGTCGATAATAATATATAATATGAACAATAGAATACTAATGATGCATTTTTGATTACATGTAAAAAGGGAACTTATAAGGCTGCATGATGACTTGGCTTCTGTGGCACTTAAATTTGGAAAAATTTGGAAAATTTGGAATTATCATGGCTCGTAAACGTCACTTACATCTTACTTTCGGGAAATTTATTTACTGGCTTGTTCAGCTTCTGCAAACTCTTTCTTATGCTAAATATTTTAGACTGAAGTTCATTCTGGAAGTGGTTAGAGCCAATTTTAAGCTGTCGAAGACAAATAATCGGTATAATTTCTGAATATTTAAAGACTGAATTAAAATACGTCGGGATATTAATCCTTACGTTTTGGAAATATTCGTCGACAGAAGAAGTGTTCTTATAAAAAGGTAAATATCCAACAAATGTATGCATTGTTGTGACTTTCATTAATAACGCTGACACGTCCTTCTCGTCCAGCCACGGAGTTGAACTGATATGTAAGTGTATTTGGTTCTTTAAGTCGGTCACCATTTTTGTAGCCTATAAGTCATGATCTTCATTAAAGTGTGCTTTATTGAAAAGGTAATTTGTATGTATATAAGATAGGAGTGAAGAAGCTAATAATCATTTCTCACCACGTTGGTTCTAAAATGAGCAATTATTTACGTCTAATAGGGTAAAAAGTATTTCGTCCCATTAAAGGGCATTTACATATGAAAGACAGAAAATAAAAATACTTACTATCTTGATTGATTGATCTGGGACGTACTTCTTTATATATTCAGACATCACTGCACTTAGAGCAGGATTTCTATAAACACAGTCTAACGATCTGCAACAATTTTGTTTTTATTTCTTGAGATCATAAAATTACATAAAAAATGTAGAATATTTGTTGGCAATTTAATAAACTTACCGCGTTCGTGATGATTGTCTCCTCAAAAACTGTTGTTGTATCGTTTCGTAAAGTTCCCTCATGTAAGAATTCGTAAACATCAACACACGACAAACAAATTTCCAGTGAACATAATTAACTGCAAAAAATATATGCGATTACCAGTAATGCAATTTTAATGCCATGTCTGCTGAAATATTGCAAAAGTCATTGACAAATTTTAATCTTACCTAACACTCTGGTCGATGTTGACTTCAATACATTTGCCAGTCCATAAAAATAATGTTTATCATATATAAAAAATCTGTCGCTAGGTCCCATATTGATACCACTATCCGTAAAAATAGTATGTATCACGTTCATCCAATTTATCTAGAAACATAATTTAAATTTGAATTCCACTTAGGATTTAAAGGAAAAACAATATATCAACATTTGAAATACATATTATATAATTATTGTTTTTTACCTCCGTTTTACTAGATTTGTGACGTTTACTGTCCCAGATGCTTTGGAATTCTTTGGATGATTTTATAACATCGGACGATTTAAATTTATTGGATATGATCTGAAATAAATAATAAATGGAATAATGTTCGAAAGTAAGACAAAATTGCTGATTACCTTGTTTAATTTATATTCCAAAGCTATCATATCATCCACATCGCGTTTCATGTCTCCAATGGAGACATTGTCGTTTCTTACGAATTCGGTAGCAACCGCGACGACAAAATTGATGTATTGTTTCACTTTCTTCTCACCCTGTAGTTTTTTAAGAATTTCACTTGGAAGGAAGGTTTCAATAGGTTGTATCTATGAACATTAAGAAGCTGTAGTCAAATTGCACTCGTTGGTTTGACGTTGTTAGAAGTATTCACTTTTTTTAAAAGTGTTATACCGAAAAACCATACCACGAAATGATGGATATTGGATTCTAGATAACCAGATAAGATGCCGATTCGGAAAAATGTTGGTCCACCCAAAATGCGAATATAATTTTCATCAATTTCTTGCCACGAAAGAGATCTCTGCCAGGAAGACATCGCCATTGGCCATCCTCCATTCTGTTTTAATATTTTAGCTACGTCCTTTACGCCTACTTCTTCGATTGCACCTAAATAAGTTAATATGCTTGTTAATTATTTTTTGTAAAAGAAGTATAAAACAGAAAAAAAGAAATTGTTTATATTTACGTTCGTCTACGCATGCTTTATAAGCTTGCTTTGCTTTTTTCAATGATTCCGAATCGCGTGCAACAATGTTCTGGGAAATAATGTCTGAAATTTAAAGACAGAAATTATTTTATTTTCTATCGTAATTATTAAAACTGATATGAAATAATCTTTTTTAATTTCTCAAAATATAACCGATACTGAATATAATTTCTATGTTAATAAATCATCACATTTTTGTAGTGATGTTGATGCTGTTAAGAAATGTTTTCTAAATTGTAGAAATCACTTCCGATCAAGAGAAATGGCAAATATTTGATATCTATTATGTTTCATTAAAAGAATAATTGTTATAGTTCCTTAATAAATGAATATAATACCTTCAAGCCGTTCGTTAATTGTATTCTGAAGTATATTGAATTGGTTTATATATTCCTGTTGTTGGCTCTGCTCGAAACGTTGTTTATAATTCCCACAAGCATACTCATAAAAATTGTCGCAAGGATTCGAGTCCGATTTTAGATTCCGCAATATTTCCTCAGCTGTAGTAACCGATTATGTGTTTTAAAAATTAATTTCGTTATATTAAATACCTTACCTATATATTTGCATTCTTCTGTATTGCAGATTTCAGATTGCATAATTCGTGACGATCCTCCACCCGGTTTTGCTTGTACCAAATCAGAAACCACAAAAAGTATCAAGTAAATTCTAAAATGGAAGTGTTACGTAATATTCTGTAAAGGATATGTTTTATTCAAAAACGTTACTGGGATTCACGTACATTTGAATATATCTGATTAATATGTTTCGCCATTTAATCGCCATGAAACCGATTATTGGAAACATATTTCTAGATGATGAGCTTGAAACTGCAATAGGTACGGGAAAGAATCGCTACAGTTAAACGTTATATTCTAACATTTCTACGTTTTATCCAAATGTTATACGAGTTGCACGTTTCCGATAAGACCTTCCAGTAATGACTAGACATTGCGATTTGCGAAAGAGATTTATGGAGCTTACCTAGAATGTTAGCTACTAATGTTTGCGATTACGATTTCTAGGTAATATTAAACTCGCATGAATCGTATAATTCCATAACTCGAAACATGAAACTACGAGGACAAACTCTTGCAGTATCTGTTAAAGATAAACAATGATTGTTCCGGGTTACAAATTAGTCATGCCAACTCTACATGACGGAATATCCTAAAAATTTCAATATTTCAAAATACGAAGTTCTATTGCTGAATATTGAAATCTGTCAATGCCGCAATATATTAGGTTGAGGAATAAGTTCCCGTCGTTTTTAACGTAACGTAACGTAATGAAAACGGCGGGAACTTATTTCTCAACCTAATGCATATTACGATGAAGCCGAAAGATAGAAATATCTATGTTACATATGTGTATTTAACTGTACAGTTGAAATTACAAATGTTACTCTTACTTTACGAATCGGTAACATTAAGAATGATTTCTTTGATACACATTTTTTATCCCCACAAAGTACACCTTCGGCTGGGATTCATTGCATCGCCTGCCTTGCAGCCAAATGCAGTTGTGAAACCTTCCAAATTTGATACAGTCCCAATTACTCGGTGGTGTGCGATACTGTATTCGCCATTCAGTCGCGCCAAATACAACAGAAACCGCGGATCATTGTACTCGCACCACATCTGTGGACAAATTGTTTTTTGCGATTCTGAATACAAATCGACATTCCCGAAACAAATAATCAAGTAAATCAAAGCTTGGTGAAAGTTCCCCCCTTTTCAAAATTTAGTTACTTCAAGGTCTGTACTGCAATGTATCTCATGATTAAAATTTTTGTTCTAATTATCGTATACGTATAAATCCAAGATTTGACTTATTACCGTGCACACCGTGTCAAACTTACATTGGCGTAGGCTAAAAAGAATAACTGTTCATCGGTGACTGACTCCAAACCTGGTAATCTTTGATGTAGTGATGTTCTTTTCCTTAGATTGTTGATGAAAGCTCCATGGCTGATTTGCATACCAGCTGTATCGGCCAGATTTTCTATTTGAGTCTCATCGCCACTATCCTACAGGAATTCATGTAATTAAGAAAACAGCCGTTCTTAAACTTGTGGGTAATTACGTGTAATACTACGTGTAATTTTGGCAAAATATGTATAATCCGAATTAATTAGAAAAAAGCCAACTAACAAATAGAACGTGGCCATGTGGTATTAGGTCTTGATAATGGTAGGTTTGGAACTGGTCGACTAAACATTGAGTTCTGTCTTCATATTCTCTCATAGTTGCAGCTGGCCAATGCATCGGAGATCCATCGTAGGCATAACGAAGTCCTGGAAGTCAAAGATGTTGATTTTCAAAAAATTTGTGACTTAAACGTATGTCCTGTAAGTATTTTTTTTTAAGGAAATCTACACGTATGAGAATATCTCTTGTAACCCTTTCACGCGTTCATAGAAAATTCACCGAATTTTCACGAAACACTTACCAAGTTTATCAAAACCGTGAGTGAATTCGTGCCCTAGGATAACACCGATTGAGCCGAGATGAAAAGGTCTGGATGAAAGAAACAGATAAGCGACATTATACTTGGGTAGAAAAGTGCATCAGGGTACCAGTGTACTCACTCTGGTACGTCGTACAAGAAAAACGGGGCTTGTAATATTCCTGATGGTACGACTAGGTAGAAAAGAAAGAAACTGGTATATAAAACGATTCTATTTTTCGGAATTGTAAATAAGGACGATGTTGCTTACCTATACTATTACGTGGTCGAACATAGAATGCATTTACTTCGACGACTGGCTTTACCCACCTAAAATAAAAATCGACGTGTTTTACAGAGCCAATTTCCATCAGTCGACGTTTTAAATTAAAGTTGGACACAATTGTAGGAATATCTTACACTTTATCTTCTGCGTATCGATCCACAGGCACACTTAGTTTTTCTAGAGAGCGGCCTATACGAAAAATCATACTGTTTAACCCATTCTGTAAGTGACTATCCCCAACGCGGAGCTGTAAGAGGTATCGAAAATTGAAAAACATATCAGTTTTTATTCATTAGTCCGATCAAGCGCATTTCGTACCTTCTTATAATATTCGTTGACTTTCGCAGGCGTTCTTAACCAAGATAAATAACCAATGAATTCGTGCAAACGCTGGACTTTCTTCTTCGCTGCTTCCCTTGAGTTGGGATCCAACCAGGGGGAATTTTTAATTTGTTCAATTAATTCCTTTGTTAGATCTGCTATTATTTCATGGACCTGTAAACACATTATGAGACTTTCCCTATCGCACTTATCCCAGAAGTTGTTCGTTTAATATAAATCAATTTCGAATATTTGCATTCGCACCTCTTATATACATATTTTTTTGGCACAAAACTCTACCGAGTTTCTTAATTCATTTAAAATATGCTTTCGAAACTCTACTTACTTTTTCGGTGTAGCTTTGTGGTACTTTAGCCAGCACGTACTGATGGTACAACGCCTTTTGAGCTGGATTTTCCTTCATACACTCCTTCTCTCTAGAGTGTTTTTCTTTTTTTAAATTCTTTAGCCCTTCGAATATGAAAATCTAAAGAGTTTATACCATTTCAAAAGACATACCGTGAATCCGATGAAGTGCTCTTCAACATTTCCGTATTGAAATCATGGTACAAATCTCTTGTACCTGTGTCGGTGAACTTCAATACGTCATAAATAAATATCCAACAAACATAGTTAACTGCAAATTTATTTTATTATTTATAGGCTGCAGTTTGAACCTTTTTTTTTATTGTTATACTTAAATCCCGATTAAGCCGTTACCTATTACTCTCGTAGGCGTTGAATCCAAAATATTGGCCAACCGATAAAAGTACTCCTCATCTCTTACCGTAATTACTTCCGGTGGTGTAAAATTTACGTCAGTATGTAAACCAAGTTTAAAAAGTACAACCTCCCAGATGATCTGAAGCATATTTCTCGAATTTAGAATTCTTTTATAAATTATTATGACAATCAATTACATGATCTATTTAGAGTCCTTGAGATGAAAGTAGTTTAATAATTAATAAATGTGTTTTATCTTAGTCTTACTCTTTTGACCTCGTAATACTCATCATTGTGCTAAAGAATACTACAGAAATTAGAGACCTCGCGGTCTCGCTTAAATTTTCGAAGGGAAATAATTCCCTCATATTTGACGGGTTGTGACACACCTATGTTAAAGTTTTCAAAAATAATATACGTTACCCTTGAGTTCGCCATTGAATACGGATAGCTATTATATTTATTTTGAAACGTAGTAAGATGCATTCGAACCTGAGCGACATCCCGGGCTTTAGATATGGCCTGAAATCAAAGAAACATAGTTTCGGGAAAGAAGAAAAATAGTTCAACTTTAAAGAGATCACGTTTGCGTACTTTTGCCAGCGTAATCTGCAGATCAATCAAGTCTTTCGCATCTTGCTTAATCGTTTCAGAATCAACATTGGCAGTAGCAAATTGCTGAGCAATTGTAACAATAAAATCACGGTAGACTTTAATCTTAGCTTTGTATTTGTCCGGGTTACGAAAGACATTAAGCGGCAAGATTAATTTTGGTGGATGAATCTGAAAAATGACAATTTCTGTGAATACTTATTTTCTTTACAATTCGAAGTACAAATACAAAATAATTAAGAAGAAAGACTGCTATTTTCTATACCACTAAGTTATGCTTCTTAGAATTATAAGGGCCGGGCTCCACGGTATAATGAAAAAACGCCGATTTTCCTATAAATCCAGTGAAGAATTGATCGATTTGTTGCCAACGTTTAGAAATATTGCTCCAATTATGCATGGCCATGGGCCAACCTCCTTGATTCATTAGCTTTTCGGTAAGCTCTGATAGTCCTACACTGTCCAATTGATCTAGAAAATTAAATAATACTTTTGGCGGTATATTACATTTAATTATAATTATATAAAAATTATACATTTTAGTCTCGAGTTTTTTTTTTTTCTATCATCACTATCTGTTGGTATAATATTTTTGCTCCTTCAATCAATTTATAATAACTTCAAGATTACTGGTAAATGGGTTCGGCTCATTCAACTTTTGAATTTATTCATAACATCTCTTAACTTAAATATTTTTAGTTAAACGTTAACGTTACCGTCGTTCATGCAAGCGTGGTAAGCCGTTTTTGATTTCTTCACGGCCTCTATATCAGACAGTAGAATGGAACGTCTGGCCGTATCTGCAAAACGAGAAAAATATAAAATGAAACATTTCTTCCTTTATTTAATTATATTGGTTCTATGTCAATAATTTGAGTGAATCGATAATCCTGAATCGGAAATGCCATACCTTCCAAATATTTGCTGATTTTTTCGCCAGCCATTCTGAATTGGTTCATTTGGTATCTGTCTTGACCCATTGGATGATGAGTGTGGAAATTTCCGCAAGCGAACTCGTAAAAATCATCACATGGCGACGCGTTTCTGTCTATGTTCCTTAAAATCTCTGCACCTACACGTGTTAAAATCGATTTAAAGTCGATTCACGCGTTTTCATGTATTAGGGCAAGTTGCATCAACAGTGACTAGTGTGACATTTTTTAATCACGATTAGTTACTACTGAATCAGTAAAATTCGTGTAGCACCGAGAAAAATTAAGCTAATCGAAGATTAAAATCTGTTGCTAGATAGTCACCTGTAGTCGAGCGATTAGCTTGTAATCAAGCATTAAGTAATCCTTAATTAAAGATTTTAACTTCAATGTTGGAGCAACCGGATATTTAGTCTTGCACCGCTTGTTCAAATAATTACTTACTCGCTTTCCGGCAATCTGCAGAATTACATACAGAAACCTGCGGGTTCTTTTTCGATATTCCCGCCCCTGGTTCAGCTTTTGCGTAATTAGCGATGATCAGTAGCATTAATGAAATTCTGCAAAAACACCAATTATTGGAGTCTTGTTAAATTCCTTGATGATCTAATAGGATATACTTACCTTCGAAGATGACTTAATTTTGTTTGACTAATCGGCATGTTAATTGTAGAAAGCATTTTTTTCCGTGACCTTAGTCACATAACATTCACCTAATCAAAAGTGACACCTCTTCGTATCCGTGTTCTTTTTATAGGTGAACACATCGCTTAATGGTAATCTTTCCGGGTGACGATTATCTGACAAGGATTAAAGTTGCACGTTTCGGAATCGTCGTGACACGACTGTAACTATAATGTGATGGATTGTGAATCATCACGAGCATTTGGAAACGATATGTTGAGCAAGATTTATGAAAATTAACTGAACTTTTAAGGAAGTTCATTACTTTGGGATTTCCAGTGTCTTGTCTCGGAAAATACTGCAAACATATTTTTAAACTAACTGAATTCATAAGATACTCTCTTAAAAAACAGTGTTCTTATCATACGAGAGCAATTTTCGATATGTAGATAATTTCACCCCAACGAAGCAATTAAAAATATTAATACACTCGCGACCGGCAAATTTTTTCCGTTTCAAATACTGAGTACCGGCAAAAATAATGAAATTCTGAAACTGGTTGCCGCAAACTTGTATCGTTAAAGGACGTGATTCACGTCAGCGGTCACGAATGTGTTAATAGCATAAAAGGAACGAAAACCTTTTTATTTTAGTGCCGATACCTAATTACTTTTATGAGGCCACATGCAGTATGATGTCCCTCACTTATTTACATAAATATAAACAATACTAAATTAATATTAGGTAATAAATGAATAAAGCTGAAAAATACGACTCTTCCGATTCAACCAGTGCAAAAGGCAATTTCGGATTGATGTACATGTAATGAGAATTAGCAATTTCTATTAAAGTGCAATTTATTTACTTTGGATTTTATGAATAAATTTCATCAGAATGTTACATTGCACTTGTATACAAATCTTTGCATGAATTTTTCGATGTCTGATTCATTGAATTTAATGCATTCAATTCCATAAGCTGCACCTCCTTTTCGAGAACATAGGACTGTACTTAGAGCATTGAAATGCGTCAGCAAAGGCTTTTATATTCGATAGTGTACCAATGAGTCGGTGCTCTCCGATACTGTAACCTTGCGATATTTGCAACAAGTACATCAACATGTCCACGTCTCTATACTCGCACCACATCTGTAAAAAAATAGTGTCTGAACATTTGAACATACATTGTATGACCCCGATAAAATCCAGAAAAGTAGCTTCCTGTAGAAGCAGAGTAAAAAATAGGCCAAAAGAGGCTGTAGTGCATTGAACACACAATTTACTTTTTAAGTGAAATTAATTATTTCCAGCGATCTAAATGATTCTTGTCGAAGAAATTTCCTGGCTCCACCGAAATTTATTTTACAGGAATTATCAGCATTACGGGACAAACGATGATAGTTTTATATTATATACAAAATTGACTTCACGTCCTGAAAATATTGGAAGTTATAAAATTTTTTGGATGAATTATTGTGTTTAACTCAAACAAGTTAATACTTAATTTAAAAACTGTTTAATGGCGGATGAATATTGTTCTAAGTTTATGTAAGAATGAATCCACCGGTAAGTGACAGAATTTTGAGAGATTCTACTTTGATACAAGAATTTTGTTAATTCTTCCAATCTTTCACTTTTTTATGCGAATCAACTACTCATCCCGGACGTTTATATGTAGAATATCTAACGACAATAAACAATAAACGCAAAAGATTGAATATCGATTGCCTTAATTACATTCAATCAACTCTACAATTTACTTTGTCCATAATAATACGGACGTTTATATGTAGAATATCTAACGACAATAAACAATAAACGCAAAAGATTGAATATCGATTGCCTTAATTACATTCAATCAACTCTACAATTTACTTTGTCCATAATAATACGTAAAAATCTTTTTGCCACAAAAATGCCGTATCTTATACAAAGTAACTCTTGTTCAGTGTATTTGTTTATATGGTTTCTAAATGTCTTACATTAGCGTACGATAAAAAGAACAACTGATCGTCGGTATAACTGTTCAGACCAGGTAATTTCTGGTAGTTCTTTGCTCGAGTTTTATAAGCTGCATAGGTCAATTGCATTCCTACAGAGTCGGCCATGTTTTCCGTTGCGGTTGCTGCACCATTACACTGGAAAAGTTAAATCAAATACCGAAAATGCAGCCAAAATTAGAGCGAAGTAGCCTATATTAATGGTTAAATTAAGATTTACAAAGAGAACATACATATACGAGTTGACCGATGTCTTCCAATTCTTTGTATCTATATCCGTTAAATTGATCGATCCAGCATTGTACTCGTTTTTCGAATTCCTTACCCGATTTGCTGGACCATGTCATATGTGACCCATCATGTGCGTATTCACGACCTGAAAACGATCAATTTTGTTCTATGAATTTCAATTTCCACGAAAAATCAATTTTTGAAGAAAGAAAACTCACCTGCTTCATCGAAACTATGTGTCAGTTCGTGTCCTATAACAGTACCAAGAGTCCCGAATTGGACATTTCTTAAAAAAGAAAAAATATCAACCATCTAGATTTTTTGCATTTTTTTCAGAATTGGAGTAACATTGCTACCTACTCGGGAACATCGCTAAAGAATAATGGTGGCTGCATCACTCCTACCGGTATGACTGAAAATGAACTAAATGTATCAACTGCCACGTCGAAATATTAAAAAGAAAACTAAGAACTCACTCAAAGCGTTGAGACGGAGAAAATTGTATGCATTTACTTCTGTGACTCCGAAGGGCCATCTAAAAGAGTTATTAGAAATAGGATCTAATTAAAATCGCTCTGATCTATATTTATTCACGATTTTATGTTAAGAATTTCAAAGGAGTACAAGGTTCAGTTTAAAAGACTGTCTGAAAAATTCGCGGATTTGTAAATGTTTAACTCAAAATATTTTCTTACCGAAAAATATGTAATATTACCTAGTCATCCAATAATGCAATAAATTGTGGTTAATTTTTTTCTTACATGCTTGAATCTGCTAGCCGATTTACTGGCTCCGGCAACAGATTTAATAAATTTCGTACATCATGCATCCTCTTATTGAAAATGTTTCTGATATGGCTGTCTCCAATTTCGAGCTGTCTCAACAAATGGCACAACACATAATTTTCATTTAGATATTCGATCGCAAATATGGAAGAAAATTACGAGCGTACATAAAGTGACTTCATACCTTATGATAGTTTTCACTAACTAATGTGGCATTTCGTACCCACGAAGAAGGCCCAACAAATTCATTTAAATGCTTGAGCTTCAATATCGAAGCATCCTTCGCTTCTCTATCCAGCCAAGGAGCTCCGCTGATCTGGTGCTCAAATTCTTTTTTAACATCTTTGACCATTTCTTTAATCTACCACAATATGAAAAGAAAAAAAAAACAAGTCAAACGAAATTCTCTAGTTAGATAAAAGAAGAACATACAATTTTTACGGTTTTCAGTGGAACGTGTTTTTCCAGATATCGATGAACAATTGCAATTAGGGCTGGATTGTTGTTCAAGCAATCCTCCCGCCTAAAACAAAATAACCTTAAATTTAATCAGAGTATCGTTGAAGAATATTCTAATGTAAAATGTAATTTTGGGGAACCTACCGATCTAGATCGGCTTTATCTTTTAACAGGTCACTCCGCATTTGAGTATCCAGAAATTCTAAATCCCAGTCTATACTTCTCAGTAAACGACGGACTAACTGCCAATGAATGTAATTAACTACGAACAAATTTATACAGTCAATTTCATGAATTGTCAAAATCCAATCCAAAAATTCTCCCTTCATTACTTATGACTTCAGCCGGTACATTCGATAATACGTCCTCCAAGTTTTCAAAATAGGGCACGTCATGTACTACCATTTTCCACGTAGGATCGTACATAAGATTACTGTTTGCGAAGAAGCTTTGAAGGATACTCTCCCAATCTATCTTATTCTAAAATAAAAGGAGAAATACATGTCTATCAGATAAGATATTACATATTTTTTAATACATTTTTTGGAATATAATTTAATCGCACCTGCACCGATCGTTGTCGTGTCTTTTGATTTTGAATAAATTCAGACATTGTAAGCCTTTTTTGCTGCATTGGTATCACACGACCAGCTTGTCGTTCGATGTGTTTAATCTGTAAAATTATTTCCCATAGAACGCAGGAAGAAAATGGATCATTGAGACGACATGAAAGTGGCATCTGTGGGGTCAATTCTGTATGAAACGGCAAACTGGGTTTACCGAATTGTTTGAAATTTGTCCATGTGAGTAAGGAGGCCCTAAGAGAGGTCCTGACACTCGCGAAATTTCGTTTCTTATAAAAAAAAGTGTAAACAATGTTTGTAAACAAATTTAAACAAAAATGAAATTTCATGGGTGTCAGGACCTTCCTTAGGGTCTCCATATTGACGTGAAAAAATTCCAAATGATTCGGTATACCCAGTTCGAAAAAAAGTTTTATAAACCAGACCCCTCAGACACTTTCACATTAGCTTAAAGATACCTGTACCAACCTTTGCTAGAGCCGTTTCTAAAGCTACGATAGAATTCGCATCCTCCCACATATTACTCGCACTGCTTGTTCTGTCTACAAACCGCAAAGCGACGCTGACGATAAATTTGCGATACCTGTCCATTTTCTCTAGATGATGCGGTGACGTCTGAAGTATGTTTGTCGGTAGAGCAGACAAACTGGGTATTAACTGTTGAAACGAAATTAAAAAATGTTGATGTTAGAGTTCAGCATCCAAAATTAAGATTGCTTATCTTTGGATTTTCTGTGAATTTCTATTGTTACCGTTTGACTCATTTTTCTCAGTCACTTACCACGAAGACGTGTCTCGTAGGATCGGTGGTGGTGTCAGGTTCGACACTAAATCGAAAAAATGCGGATTCACCTATAAAATTAATATACCACTTATCAAGCTCACGCCAAGAAACGGAAGTCCAATCTCTTCTCAAAGACGTTGCTATCGGCCAGCCTCCCTTCTGTGCCAGAATGGACTTCATTTCCGCCATTGCTGTCTTGTTAATGCGCTCTAAAAATAAAATCTCCTATTCCATTCTACACTGGAAACTGTGTCCAGCAAAATACGAATGTTTAATACAAATTTTTTTCTATAAGAACATCCTAATGTTTTACGAACGAAACTGAAAGAGATATTTCCGCAATAATTTTTTTAAATTGCTGAAGAATATCTTCACATGATGAGGAATAGTGTTCTCATAGTACACATTAAGCCTATATAATTCAATGTTATCTCTATAGAAGCAATTTGTTTGAGTAAAAAGAGATGTGCAAAATGGTCATACTTTCATCGACGCAAACTTTAAAGGCTTTCTTTGCTTTCTTTACGGCTTCCGCGTCCTTGCGAGAAATTGGTTCATTAATTATGTCTGAAACATGACAAAATAATTCTTCACCGTTTATCTGCTCCGCGACGTAAAAATGGAGGTAAAGAAAAAAAGGGGGACCTTGTAATCGATCTTGGACAGTCTTTTCGATCTCCATAAATTGATTATAATAACCGTCCCCTGTATTCAAGTTGACGTGAGACTTGTAATTCCCACAGGCAAACTCATAAAAATTGTGACAAGGTGATACTCTAGTATTCATATTTCGTAAGATTTCCTTCGCTGTTAGGTAGAAAATGAAATTCATTATTTTTTCTCTTTTAGAAGTCTTCATTTGTCATTGCCAACGTAATTCTTACCTATCATTTTGCAGCCTTCGGTAAGACAAGTCTCAGAGTCGTTTGAACCTCTTCGAGAAGGTGAATTAGTATTCAACACTTTTGTCAGCGTTGATCCTGCCTCTGCTGACACTATACTGACCAGTAAACAAAGAACTAGGCAGTATCTTTAAAGGAGGAACAGAACAATTGTATTTCCGAAATGTTCCCTATTCTTAGACGTTCATTAAATTACATCAAAGTATTACATACGGTAGCAGAAAACATCTGGTAGAAATTTCTTTTCTATTTATGAGCGAGTTGTCTTTTGACAAAACCATAGTTAAATGTGCTTAAATTTTCTTCTAGTACTTGGTACAAGAAAAGTTGTTCCAATGTTTATATCAACTAGTCATATCAATTTTCATTCCCCGCGTGTCTTAAATGGCTCCGATTAGTCGCGACACGATGTTGTAAACCTGCTGCAAATATCGAAACTAAATCAAGCACATATATATTTACCGCGTGTACAAATATTTGGAATAATGAATGCACCATATTCGATACGATTCTTATACGCCGGCAAACATAATTACCTTCTCAGCATATACTTGTTGCCGGTTGAAAACAAAAGCAAATTATAATGCGTAGTATAGCTGTAAAGTAGCTGAATAAGTCGTAGCATAATAAGTAGCGTGAGATTGTAATAGCGTTGGCCAGCGGGGACGGAGGCGCATGGTGTGCTCTATGAAGGAATAAACGTACCCTTGGGTGGATGCTCGTAGCGCGCCGAGAACACTCGGGGACGCCGACAGGGAAGGACCAAAGGAGTCTAACCTTGATACGACGTGTAAGGTGGGAGAACCGATGGATTGACATCTTGCAATGGCAAGGTGTGTGGTATCCAATAGGTCAGACCTACCCTCTTGCGTAAAAGCTGCCCCCCATGTAGAAATTTCGATCTTTCGCCCATACTGACCATCGTTTCAACATTGGGCCAATATTGGCACTCGAGCCTCACCTGATTATCTTGGCCCAATATTGAAAATACCATCGGTATATGTTAGGGCCAATGTCGGAATTTACATCCATAACCTAAGGACAGCCGATGTTTGAAAATATATTTGTAGCGTAATTTTCATGTTTGAATCTTCGCGCAATCGCATGTAACCGATCTGTGAGGCCTCTACCGGGTTGTCCGAGTAATCTCCCCGGTGCTACGATTTCGGTGGTATCGGAAGGCCAGCGCTCGCTCTCTCGGCCCGCAACCTTCGTCAAGAGCGCATCGCGAGGAGGAACTGACCAATCCAAGGATCCCAGGATTGAGCCATAAGAGAAGAGCGTCTGTTGCTGCTCATAAGGGACCAGCCTTTCATCCTCCTGCGACGGGATATTCAACCTTCTCGCCCGCATCGAATGCAGTGAATGCCCTGGATTGAGGCCAGTCAAATCTAGAGACTTATATTTTCTGATTCTTAAAATTATAATTTACACGAGCATTTGTATTGCGTTAGCTCTATCGTTATTTTCTGTTACATCTCGTTTCGCGACTTGCTAAGAGAACTAGTAAAAAGGACTGAGAAAGAAAACAACATTACAGATTTAACCAATATAAGACCGAATGTCGGACCAACATCGACAAATGCATCAGTTTTATAGAAAGCCAACCCTCGGCAAACGATTGGCCCATTCGAGAACCACGTATGTAGCAATATAGCGCGGAACTTATTAACCGTGTTATAAGAACGACTACTGTATACAGACAAGTTAAACAAGGAATTAAGGAAATCAAAATAATAACATACATTTTTTCATGTTTTTATTTCATGTCATGGTAATTAATAATGCTTTTGTACTCTTTGACATTCACATATCAATATAATATGTATACTGTATATACATATGTATAATATGTATACAATATATGTATGTATACTGATTCAAACATTTTCTTGATTGCACGACTTTTGCATTCGAATTTTCTTTCCCTCTTCTCTGTCTCCTGCTTGAGCAAAGAAGTACACTGGGAGACAACAATGCCTTCCCATCCTGCACGCGATGCCGTATCTGCAGGGGAGGCATTCATGTCCGCCATTGTACGATAGGAAAGAATTATATTCCTTAAATCCGCAATTAAAATTGCTCATGACAATATTAGTAAAAAAAAACAATTATATGAGAAAATTTAAGATAGAGAAAGAATAATCTAAATAGGTTAACCCGGAGAAAAGTTATGTGTGAACATATATATAATAAAAAATTAAATTTAAAAAATGTACGGGACTTACTAACAATAAAAATTTCCTTCTTCTTTGAAATTAGTTAAAAATCACACCTTTCATAAAAGAGAAGTTTGCAACAATTGGAAAATCAGTTTCTATAACTGCATGGGCAAAAATGTTTTTTTGATCTATTGAATTCTGTTGCACCATCAATATTAACAATTAGCTTTATATAATCAACTAAAAATAGTTCAGACGGAATTAACTTGTTAAAATTGTTTTCTATTCCCCTGTACATAAAATGTCCCGCCGATTCATCGTAGCCTACGATATTGCGTAATATCCGTTTATCCAAAAATGGAGTTTCCAACAATGTTTTAGCCGTTTTTGGGAAATCTGTACGGCTCTCTAAGAACTACAGGTAGATTATCAATTGTTTCGTGTTTTAAAGTTTTAATGTGCTTTAATGCCCACAATCGTATTTTTTCACTTGCAGTCCTTTGAAAGTGGCTGTTAAAGTTGCACCGAGTCTCACAATAATTATTTTCAATATTGTCTGGTTCCTCAGTCCAAGAAAAGTCCGATGAGGCGCTCGAAAACATTGAAGGTAAGTCTCTTTTCGATGAAAATTTATCACTAGTGTCGTTAGTATATTTTTATTCACTGTTTATTTTCTGTATCAGCATTACATTTCTCTCGTCGTGAAATAGCACGATATTTTTTAACCCGCTCGTATGCATTCATTTTTCTGTGTAAAGATTGCAAGCCAAACCCGATTTATTACTACATTTCGGAGTCCCGTCAGTAAATCAGTTCTAGGTTACACCTCTTTTAACAAACACATCTTGAAAAACTGCGGCCCACTGCTGCTCTACTTGTCATTTGCCGCCTTTAGGGGGATGTGAAAGGCGTCTCTGAGGGGTCAAATCGTTTATAAAAGTTTTCTC